TGTATGTGTGTGTGTGTGTGTGTGTGTGTGTATAAAAGGTCACAGTATTTGTAACACCATAATTTATAAAAAAGGTAAAGTGAAGGAGAGAGGGCAAATAACATCTTGATGGTGTTCAGAAAGTGAATATTAATACAAAATTGTTCTTGTAATATTAGAACTCAGAATCATTCAAGCAAGCTGAACAAAGATATTTCAAATTAAAGGAAGGACTGTTTCATACTGAGTGTGGCTCTAGAATGACTACTGCATGATTTACTTATCAATTGGAATGGCTTTAGATATCATTATAGAGGACAAAGATATCAGTAGCTACTACTACAGTTTCAATGACAGTATGATGTTGACTGTTGCTTGGGCATACAAATAGAGAAGGATGGAGTCAAACTCATTGTTTGTTTATTGGCTTCCCATTGTGGATGACTTAAGCCTTGGCATAATCTAGCAAGGATGTCTTTATGTATTTAATTTTGGATATTATCCTGTCTTTTGTTTTAGAAAATCATTTTAGTAATTTCTATTATAAACCAAGATAACAAATTGATCAGAGTTAAGAGAGTTCTGATTGTCATAGTTTGTAATTTATCAATGCCTAGTTTGTTCAGGTGAAAGGATTTCATATTCTAATACTTTTCCTAATTCAAGATCTTCTGCCACTGTGCTTGATTGAAGTTTGCTCCTAGGAGGGGTAAAGCTCTGGTGTTAGATTTTATTATCTTACAAGAGCCAGTTACACAGAACAATGTAACATTTTTTTCTTGTCTTAATTCACTATTCACTTTGTGTTTGCGCGAACTGTGATTAAAAATTTATACCAACAGTCTTGACCAATTATTTTCATGTAGTTCAATGTGGTACAGTATGTCCTATGCCTGTTTTCTAGATTTGCCCATGTATTCCAGGTTATACTGCAACACCAGCATGATGTAAAGCCCACAGTAATCACTCAAACAAGTCACTTACTTGAGATGATTACATATAATCATACTGGAAAGTAGCCAGTTAGTCCAATATCTATGCAATATAATTAACCATTTAAGTTATGAAATGGGCCTCAATAAGATCTCTAATTGTACTTAGAAGAGATATCATATGACTTAGCAGCCATGTTGATTCTACAGTACAAAACAAGCGCAGAAGAGGATATATTTGGCCATACATATGTTTAAAAAACTGTATGTAAGCTTAATTGTAAACTCTTAGATTCTATATTGAAGGAAAAAACTAACAATAAAAATGAAGTTTTATTGATACTATTTTGCCTCACTTTTTTCAGACTTTTGAGAAAGACATTAACAAGTTGATACTGACAGAATTATCAGTGTTGTTTTACTGAAAGCATTATACAAATGTGAGTGAAGTTCATTGTTAAGCACGTTAAGTGTCAGTTTTAAACAGCAGGAAAAGTTACACATTCTTGGATATTGAATTTTCTTTATAGTTAGCTCTATCTTGTGGTCAAACACGGCGTTGCAGTTTGTGATTATGCTGACAAAAAAAAAATCTAATCTTAAAAGCAATATTGACCATCTGGAAATGCTCTGGTAATAGCAGTTCTTTTTCTCTTCTCCCTCTCTCTCCCCCTTCCCCTCTTCTCCCTGCCCCCCCTCCAAGTATTCCTGATCTTGAGAAGCTGGACATTTTAAAAAGCAGCACTACACACACATTAACAAAGATCTGTGACTAAATGCAATTTTTGTCAAGCTTTCTAAGTGTAACTTTAACTCTTTGCTGCTATCTAATGATAGTCTAGATTTTTGTAGCCCAGAATTGTAGCCCTAGGTAATATGTAAAGCCTGTGCATTTGTTTGCAAAAACTAACCAACCAACCAACCAACTAACCAACCAACCAACCAACCAACCAACCTTTTATTCTAGACCTACAAAATCAGAGCTGCAAAAATGTCCCACCTATTAATCAATGTCCTATCTATTGTTAATGTATAGGCAATGTAAAGTTTACATTTAGTAGCTGTATTGAAGTTATAAGCTTGTAACTTTAAAAGCTATATGTGTCAGAATGCATGTGTACTAGAGACTAGTAGCCAGCCTGCAAATAGATAGTGTGCATTGCTGCAAAAGGAAATCTCCTTTTTAAATTCTAAAAAGCAATTAATGGTATAATGCTCTGTTATAATGCTCTGCCGTAATCTTTAAGTATATACTTTTACTTTAAAAAAGTAAATAAATGTGTATTAGAAAGCTTTGGTGGAAGAAGAATTCAAATATTTTGATTGATGTTGGTATTATCATTCCTGCTCTTTGTTTAATTCTTTATACAGATACATCTCACATGCTGAAGAAAAAAAAGCTGAGATAGCCAAAGCAAAGCCATTTTTGAAGAACCCTCACTCAACCAGGGATGCATGTGTATGGCTTTGTTGTCCCATCAATTGGACAGGCTATCTTAGAGGCTGGAATTAGTGGGTGGACCAAAGGGCTCTTCATTTCTATCATATTGCATAACTAAAGTGGAAAAAGTACAGATTCTGTTATTGTGGCTTGAGTACTAGAAAAATGCTAGTTTTATAATAGAAGTTGAGGAAAGACATTCAAAGACCATGCAAAAACAATTAATGCTCTATAGTATAAAGTATATGCAGTTAAAACTCTTGTGGTCTATTTAAAACCTTGTAGATTTGAATGGGACTTTAATTCTGTCTCTTCTTTCCGCTTGCATTGACTGAAATAAGGGCTTCTTAACTGTCTAACATGTTACATCTGTTGAGGCTTTGAGAGATAGAATCTTGTTTATTAAGTACACTGTTGGTGATAGTTCAATCAATAGTTCAAATTTTGGTTGGGTGGTAGTCCACAATGAAGTCTTGTCATAACTCATGAATGAACAGATTGTGAGAAAAGTCAACTGTCTGTATTGTGTTGTGGCAAGAAAGCTTAAGTGGAGAATCCCTGACAAAATTTCCTTCTATTCAAGAGTTTGTACTTGGTTAATCAGAGAGTCTAAGAAACAAGAAGAAACAAAAGCTTTACTTTTGGTAGTGCTCTAAGAGGAAAAGATGAAGATGACTAGAAAGGAGTCTGAAGTTATATCAGACTTCATACCAGGGCTTGGAGTAAATCACAGGTCTCCATTCATTTACCTCTTATTGCTTGGCAGAAGATGCCCAGATATGAGTTAGCTAGATTAGAAACTTTATTGCAGACAAGAATGAAACATTAAACACAACTGATTTGTTATTTATGCATGTATGCATGCATGCATGTATGCATTGGGTTTCTATTCTGCTACAGTCATAAACTGACTTTCGGTGCCTCACAGTAACGGAACAAGACATAGTGATACCAAGGAATATATAAGATAAATACATAAAAA